CTAAATAAAATGGCGAAGCTGAAGTCAGTGGTGGATAAAGAAAAACCGGACGTTATCGCTGTCTCGGAAACTTGGTTAACGTCAGAAGTATTAGATAGCGAAATCCAATTGACTGGTTTCATAACCAGTAGAGCTGATAGATTAGACCGAAGGGGAGGCGGGGTTATTGTGTACACGAAAAGTACCCTAACCATAAGATTAGCTGAGACAGTAGCACATGTTTCAGGGACATGTGAACTGGTGAGATATAAGTTGAAATGCCGAAGGCAAGGTATTGAAGTAGTTATAGTTTATCGCAGTCCAGAATGTGTAGCAGATGATTTTCTCCTCAGTAAACTTAAGTCCTGGTGTAACAACGGTAAAAGCCTTGTAGTAGGCGACTTTAGTGCACCATATATAAACTGGGTTAACTTAGAAGTAGGGTCATCCATATCGTTGTTCGACTCCAAACTGTTAGAAACCTCGATTGGACTAGCATTATTCCAACACATTAGAGATCCCACAAGATACGACTTAAGAAACTCTTCTCTTTTAGATTTAGTCTTCACACACGGCGATGACGTTGGTCAAACGGCTTTTCTCCCACCACTTGGGAGAAGTAACCATGCAGTCATCTTATTCAAATTCATGTCTGAGATTGCTTGTCAAACAATTGCGCTGGCCCGTCCTAACATATGGAAGGCAGATATACAGGCACTTAACTCCGCAGCATCGGCTGAGAACTGGGAAATTGACTCAAAGGCATCAGTGCAAGAGGCATGGACTCTATTCAGGCAGTTATACAATCGGGTAACTCAACCATACATACCCTGGACTGTCCCAAAGAAAAAGAAACACGGACATCCCTAGATAGGGCGGGATATTCGACGCTTACTAAGACAAAAGAAGAAATGCTGGGATGTTGCCATCCGCCTTGGCACAGCACGTACGATGGAACGCTACAGATCGATAAGAAACGAGTGTATAACTAAAATTCGGGAAGCTCAAAGAAAATATGAAATGCAGTTGGCACAATCTGCACTCAAGCAACCCAAGAGAATATTCTCGTACATAAACTACAAAACAATGATGCATCATTGGATTCCCAACCTAATTAAAGAAGGGAGTGAATCTGAAATGACAGAGGAAGATCAGGAAGAAGCAGAGGCTATGGCTGACTATTTTGTGGCAGTTTTCACTCAGGAACCTCCTCTAGAGAAAGAACCAGGCTCAAATACAGAGTCAACGAACCAGCTGCTCACCGTGGACCTCGACCAAAACGATGTGCTTAAGGCTCTTAGCACCCTAAATATGGAGAAGTCAACAGGACCAGATGAACTACACCCTAAAATCTTGAGACATATTGCCCAATATATCGCAGTCCCACTGACTGTGATATTCAAAATGTCACTTGACCAAGGTGTGTTACCTATGGACTGGAAGGACGCAATCGTCACTCCCATACATAAAACAGGTCTACGACAAGTTCCATCAAATTACAGACCCGTAAGCCTCACCAGTGTTGTAATTAAAATACTGGAAAGAATAATCAAACGGACCATAACAGCATTTATGGAAACCAATAACTTGCTGAACATGGCACAACATGGTTTTAGAAAGGGTCTATTCTGTACAACGAACCTCCTTATAGCTAGGGAGCTCTGGATTAATGCGCTAGACAACGGAAACTCAGTGGATGTTGTCTACATAGACTTCAGTAAGGCTTTTGACAAGGTGCCAACTAATAGACTGCTATTGAAGTTGGCAAACCTTGGTATTGCCGGACCTCTTTTAGGATTAGGAATTTCCTAGTAGGTCATAGGCAAAAAGTAAGAATAAATTCCAAGTGCTCCATCTGGAGACCAGTACTTAGTGAAGTACCCCGAGGTTCCGTCTTAGGTCCTTTACTTTTTATAATGTACGTTAATGATCTTACAAGTATAGTAGTCTCCAATGTTATCATACGCTGACGATGTAAAAATTTGGCGAGTAATAACTGGAGACAAAGACGCATTTACTCTTCAGGCGGACTTAAATAATATGATAAACTGGTCTAAAGAGTGGCTAATGCTTATCAACTCGGAAAAGTGTGTCTACATGCACTTGGGGGGTTCAAAGGTTAATACGTACAACATAGGGGATGTGTCATTACCCGTAGTCCGGTCTCATAAGGACCTAGGGGTGGCAGTGAGCAATTATCTTAAGACGACGGCCCATTTCCGGGAGGTCGCAGCCAAGGGGTTTCGAACCCTCTGGGCTTTAAAAAGGACATTCACTAAGCTTGATACTACCATTTTCACCACATTATACACATCCTTAGTGAGAACTAAGTTAGAGAACTGTGTTCAGGCTGCAAGCCCCTGATTAAAAGGTGACTCAGACATACTGTAAAAGGTACAGAGGGCAGCCACGCGTGCAATTCCGGAACTCCGGGGTTTATCATATAAAGAGCGGCTTGAAAAACTGAACCTCTTTATTCTGTTCTATCGCAGACTAAGGGGAGATCTAATATTTATGTACAGAATCCTGAGAAATGATTTCGGACCTAACTTATTCTCTCTCTTTCTTCCCACTAGATCGGGACACCTCAGAGGACATAGCAGGCGAGTAGAAAAGCCAAGAACGAACAAAATACCCGTGGCATACAGGTTTTCACACCGAGTCATCAATACTTGGAACCTGCTGCCTGAAGCAGTGGTGTCCGCACCTTCAATTGACTCTTTCAAGAGAAGACTGGACACTCACAGAAGCATACTAGAAAAGGAATAACATAGGCCGTAGGCCTTCTGTCCTTACTACACAAATCTGAAATCTGAAATCATCTACATTCAGATCCTGATGCTTTTGAGGATTATTTTGAAAGGTTCGAAATCTGGGCTATGACCAAGGAAGATGCTGAGGATGTTAATATTGTGGCACATTTCCTCACATTCATCGGAAAAGAAGCATATAGCTTATTAAGAACTCTGGCTATGCCAGAAAAGCCTATCTCGCTTTCTTATACAACTTTCAAGTAACTGCTGCTAAGTATAGAAATTTCGAACCCAATAAAGGAAGATTTTGTAAAGTGATTCGTGAGGAAATAAAAAATTCCACTGCATTACTACGTCATCCCAACCCAGTGCATACTCATGGCTATGCAGATAATTCATTGAGGAGTTGCAATGCATTTCACGAAGATGGGTACAAGTTTGGTCAATGTTTGTCCAGTGGCAAGTTCCACTCTTTTAATTCATGTAAATTTCGTAATTCTAAGTGCTTTAAATGTGGTGATATTGGACACGTTCAATCAGTTTGTAATGCTAATGTTCACCTTACTGCAACTAATATTAAGTCTTGTAATTCTGATTCTACAAAGTCGAGTATTTATAATGATGATTTATATTTATCAACGATTTCAAAAGATAGTGTAGATTGATATGGCAGTTCAGAGTTAAATGAAATCCAGAATTCTTATGAGACAACAGTTCCTAATCAACCAACTTGTCAGATTTCACATGTTATTGTACCAGATATGACTTTTCCTAATAATTCACTTATTTCTGATGAAATTTCTTACAAATCAGAAGAAAATATGTTGAGTGAGCATAATTATGATCGAAAACCTGATATGGTTTGGATAGATGCTGATTTTTCTAACGATCCTACGTTCTGCAATGACAGTCCTAATGAATTTCATAAGAATATTTCGAAAGAATCAAATCCTGATGTCATATCATATATTACCTAACCTCATAATGCATTTGATCCTTGTGAAAAGCCTGCTCAATGCGAAGCACGAGTACTAAGTGACCTCGCGTTTGATTACATTTCGGATAATTTCATATCAACTGCTGTTTACCCTTATCACAAAAACAGTTCTAATGTTTACTCTAAACAATGTGAGAAATTTGTTTAAATGAAGCCACATTATTCATAACTTGGGGATATAAAGATCCAACATTATTTCGTGGGGGGAGGATAGTGTTGAAAAATCTATGGTTCAAATTCTAGATATCAATGATTTCAGTACAAAACCGACATGCTGGTTGTATACAATTCCAGGTGAGTCTGTTCGGATTTCGTTTGTTAATTCCAATACTAATGAACACTTTCTAGATACTACAAAGTTTTTGTCCTATACAATGTCGGACAGACTCAGGATGAACTTAACAAGAAGACGTACAACCGATTACAAACACTTATACTTCTATTTAAGCTGTGGCGGATGTGGTGTTTGAACGAACTAATAATACCTTTGTACTTGTGGAATGCTCGATTTCGAATTCCAAATACAGTACATGCGTTTGTGTTTGTGTCTTACTTCTTGATTCAATTGCGTTATTTCTGGGATTCCTAGTTCATAATACAAATCAAATAACTCGAAACATTATAGAAATGTAGTCATAGGCACTTTTGTTTCAAGAAAGGGGAAGTATAAGATTGTTAAGCCTTGAGAATTCCAAATTGATATCACCTACCATATTGCTAGTCGGACCAGTGACCAATTTTACGAATCTACACAACCAATGAACGACAACCAAAGCCCTAGCGCTTATTGGTTATCGAACCCCTTTCTAACCCAGGGCCAATCAGAAGACGATGATCTTGTCTGAGAACTCATGTAATAATATGCTGAGAATTCCTAATCATACAACACTCCATACAAGTAATTCCCATAAGTGGTAGAAGAAAATATTACATAATCAATCGGCAATAATTAAGGAACGGTGAAATATCTAACAACAGTCAAAAGGTCCACTGGACGTTTACAATAAGGAAAACATAGGAATGTATCTATTAATAATGCAACAAAGATATAATTAGTAACAATCCAGAAAATAGCTAAGAGATTTTCAACTTTCCCAATATTCGTTCTGTTATAACAAAGAAAAACAATTTCTTCCATTTCACAAATTAAAATTAGTTCAAACACATTGAATATTCATACTTCTATTGTTAAATAATAACAGAAACATCTTGAGACCAAAGAAAACGAATTAAGACAAGTTGAAGTAACTCGTAATAATCTAACGAAACGTATGGAGGCATTACAAAGTCGCATAATTGTTGGAGGTGAAAATTTATTAGAAAAAGCTGAAATACAAGAAAAATTATTAGAAAAATCAGCGATTGAATTACAAAAACAACAATTACGTGCGGAACAATTACATCAAAAATTAAAAGAAAAAGAGGAAGAACGTATCAATATTGAAGAAAAATATAATAATCTACAGGTAATTTATTGGATGATATTTACCTTGAAAATGTTGATGTATGATTAATGGTTTCTTTCATTTGTAAACTTTACTAGTTTCATTTAATAAAAATAATGAACAGATTCGAAGTAAGTGACCTGTAATAAATAATATGTATCTGCAAATATCCCGAAGAACAGAAATGATTCAAATAGTTGTCAAATGATGATATTTTGGGTGGATTGTTCAAGTTGTTAGGACAGCAAATACCTCTTTTTCTGTTGAACATATTAGAAATCAAGCTTGTATTAAATGCTTTAGCTACTGACCCTTCTTCCTTTATAGTTTAAAAAGTTCTTTTAGATTATTTAGTCTTCTTGTCAGAAATGCATTTTTTCTACTTATTAGAACATTTCGAATCTAAATGTATATCATTTTTGTCATAAGTAATCTACCTAATTTTAATTTGTATATATTGGTTGCTTGGATCTTCCCATTGATGTTTAGAATCACAATTGATAAGTCTCTTTTGGCATATATGCATCCAGTTGACCAGTCCCAAATAAAATGAAATGCGCGTCATGGATTCCACTGCTAGCCACCATTCATCTCTGATTAAAATCTACCTACCTAATTATCAAAACAAATCTTAATAGTGATATTTAAATATATAATCTCTTGCTTCAACCTGATAGTATACGGAGCTTGGGTAGATATGCAGAACATAGCATGCTAAACAATACTTGCACAAATAATTCTGAGGATAAAAAACAAAACTGATTAGTAAATCCAGGTTTTTACACAGAAGCATTTCTTTTTTCTAGATTTTTCCCATACATGCTAAATATTAAACTAATAGAATTTAACAGTATACTTGACAGTAAGATAACTGTGAATGTAAACCTTATGTTTAACTACTCAAATCAAATTACCTAAAATATGATCGCTAGTATGTATATTTATTGTTGTAATCATACACCATAAGAGATCAAACGGAAATCCACCAGACCTCGTAGCTCGCATAATAATCAATTTATATATTTTTACGAATATATGACTTATTTGATAATCAAATCTGCCAATATCAAATTGATGCAACTATGGACAAAAAATTGTATGTTAAACATCAAGCACGAAATAACATAGTGTAACTTTTAATTGACAATATTCCGTAGTTATTATCGAAGTGATAGTTTTACACATAGAGTTTCAGTCAAATAAAGTATTTTCACAGTTAAATCTAAAATAATATTAAACAATTTATGTAAAGCTTCTTTGTTCATAAATTTGAATGAATATTAATATTACTAGTAAGTGTTAAATATAAGCATAACTCTTTATATTAACAATTCCGATGCGATTAATAACTTAAAACCCTAACTTCTGGAAAGTCATCTTCAATAATTTGTTTTGATACAATACAACTACCCATTTATATGAAATAGTTCCTTCAAAGAGACGTTACTCACTCAAGAAATAAATTTTGACATTATTTAGTTGTATAATTTTTAAGCACTTAGCTGTGAACGACAATGAATCGTCTATACTACTGAAAATCGATATTACTAAAATTGATACATCTTTGTTCAAGTTTTTGCATTAAATTATCTGTTTGTAATTTACGATATGGTTATTAAAAATGTACTGTCAAATTAAAAAAAAGCTGACGTTGATAAATGCTACTCTAATTGCCAACATAGAAAGATAAAAGGTCCTATGCCATGCTACACACTCACTCAGTCATCATCAACTCCAGCACAAAAATGTATTGGTCTGTTATCACAAGATAATAGGCGAAGGAGAGGATTTAATTTCAAGTACAATAGAAAATCTAAACATGAGAGATTTAGAAAAAGATATAGGATGAATACAACTGAGTTTTATTTTGCACCATGTCACCCAACGTCTCTAACCATTTCTTAAAATTATTGCGCGACACCTTTCTGTAATTAAGAAGTCTTCTCTATTTTGCACTATACCTTACACGAATGTTCCCTCTTTGTAGATCTTACAAAATTGTGAGATCGTAATAAATTTACAAGTACTCCTACGGCAGGAATTAATTAAACTTATGTCAAGATATAACTATTCACAATTTATTTTCCAACTTATCGGTAGCTTACGGACAGCTCCAAATTAGTAAATTGCTAAAAGGTCTGCCTCTTTGTGTTATATCTAATGTAAATAGCGACTGAATTCATTGGCGAATATTCAACTGAACATACATGCAAATGATTGACTTCATTTATATGAATAGCTCTATCCATACAAATCATCGTAAGCAAATGGTTAGTACTCATGCAGATCTCTTCGACTTAATTATGTACGGTTTAATTATTTGAACGATTGTACATTATAGTAGCAGAAGAATAAACAAACTAAATTATTTTAGAATTGTGGATAGCTTTTTGACCATAATATTCAGATCACCTGTTTTGTTAACATATATAATATTAAAAACTACAAATATAAGTACTTCATGTAGTTATTTGTAATACTATACTTAAATTTGCACATTATGGTTGTGAGCAATTATGAACACTGGCTCTGACTTTCTTCGACGAGCTAAAGTCCTCAGACTTAAATTACTGAAAATTGTCAAATGATGTAACTCGTAACTGTCTCTGATTGATATTTATTACTTCCAGCCACCCATTCATCCTATATGTTTTACATCACTACACTTGTAATTACTGGTTATTCTAATAGTATCAAACTCAGGAAACTGAGTGATCCAATTGTTTAGGTTTTAGTAAAGATGCAGAATTAAATCATACCATTAGTCTTTACCTTCCACTGTCTTCCAAATATTGATATGGCTTTAAGCCTTTTATTTCCCTTGAAGCTTAAATCAAAATTTGCTGCGTAGAATAATACTACTTCTTATGCTATGTTAATCGAGATATGCTGATCAGTTTTAATTTTTCTATATGATCATAAACAACAGACTATTTACAAAAAAACTGTTATCATCTGTCTTTTGTTCAAGGGAGATGAGATCTCAGGAAGAATCGATGGGAAAATCAAAGTGACACTGATAAGCTCTCCTGTAGCTTAATTGGTTCATATATATAAGGCTGTTTGCAACTGATAGGAAGTCATGCAATAAAAGAATCCGTTTTATTCTGAAAACTTTTCTGTATTTGTCCCGTTTAAAACTCATAATTAACTTCATGTAGCATGATTCGCGACTAAATGAAAACCCACTTCCATTTTGTGTTAAAGGACTATCACTACTATTTATCATATAATCAAATAATTCAAATCGAGGTAACATGAAATAGAACAATGTTAACAACTACGGGCTGATTACCACGCGTCATTGAATTACCAACGGAAACTGCCCTGAGACATTATGTTCTTTCAATGACAATTCTGACTTCTAGTTTGAAATTATTTGTCATTTTTTCTTGTATTGGTATTATTTTAATAGGCGGCTCTGATTTTTTACTTAATCTAGGAAGAAGCTGCCGGGAAGCGTAAAAAACTACGTAAATTAAGTACAATATATTTGCAAGCCAAGTCGGAACTTGAAGATATGAAAAATGAACACGTTCGTGAAATGGAAGGCTTAGTAGATAATATACGTCAATTGGAAAGAGAATTGGCTCGTTATACTCTAATCATCGATCGATTTATTCCACAATCATACCAAGTAATTAATGAAAGGAGCTATTTTTCTGCATTTATATTATTTCTCAGATAAACACATTCTATGATAACGAGGCAACGTTAGACCAATTTTGTAATAAAATCTCGGCTTCTATACAAGTCACTACACTATAATTACTGTTTGAGGACTAGCAACATTACCCGTAATCAACTACTATTTGAAACTAATGAAACCAGTCGACCCTCGAGAATTTTCTTGAAACTCGAAACCATTTCAGGCATAATTAGTTAATCATGTATTAATTTGAACAAACAAAATCAACTCACTTATTGATTAGAAAACAGTGAATATCTGATATATCAGAACTGATAAATTTTACGCAGAACAACAAGATAGTGGAAGTTAAAATGCTTACATCCAACATGAGTTTTTATGATTAATTTCTGGAAATTATCTTAACTAGAGCTAATCAAAGTAGTGCTAATTATTTTTTAAATGACTGATTCCATGTTAATGCTTTATTTTGATAACGGAATGATGTTTAAATACTAATTAATAAGTATTATCATGGAAGGATACAAAAAGTAATACGTTCTTTATCGTCGCTTAAGTGAAATCGCTTAAATTCTTTAATTCATCGTCTAGACATTTTTTCAACGTTTTTAAAACTTACGATGAAAATTAGATATACCATAATGAGTGTATTGCCATTCTCTACACAGTAACTATTGATTGTTTAGTACAAATCGTCAAATGAGCTGTAGATCAAACTTAATATTTGACATATCTCGTGGCTTACTCTCTTGGATATGGAGACTAGTTTGAAATAATGTAAGGAATTACAGTCAAACACTTAAATTAAAAAAAGCCTTAGGTTTTCTAAATCTTAACCACATGTTTACTAATAACCAGAATTTGATTATTTCAAGCTGTATAAACTAAACTATAGATAAATACAATTGCTTATAAATAAGGCTCTACCACTGGATACGATTAGATTCTTTCTGTATTTTAAAGTCGTTTTAAAATATAATAATAGTACCTAAGTTCTGCTTATCTTCACTTATTAGTTGTGCATGAGCATCTTAAAGATTGGAAAGCTTTCTTCACTGATAAAGAGCCGATTCGATGTTCCCAGCGCATCATGATTCGTCAGCTGTCCTTCAGAAGAAATATCTTACATAGGTATTAGGTTATCTTCAATAACTAAAATATCATATTCTCATATAATTCTGTAAAGTCATAAATATACCCAAAGCTCATTTCAATATATCACAACAATTGTTCATTTTACGAATTCAAAATAACGTCCTTGTTAATCACAAGTCCTTCCACCCAGAATTACCATCTGGTCAAAGTGCAAATAACAAAAACTTGACTTTCAGACCAGTCACAAGATATTTACTGTAGGTTAGCGCTCTATTCTGCTGTTCAACATGTTAAAACACACTTCACTATACCAAAAAATGAACATTTTACTTGAATGCACTATCTGAATGCTAACGCTCCGTCAATCACTAACCAACAGAAGTCTACGCATTCGAAATGATCATTTCGACTGCGAGTTCCCAATTTCGGGGAAAATTTGACCCATTTTGGGGAAGCCGCTATTAACTGGGGAAATGGCACTAAAACCCCTAAGTTTTCCCAGACTTAGAGAGATTCCCCAATACTTCCCCTTAACCCTGGCAAAACTCATTTGACTTTATGGGTTTCCCCAAACTTGGGAGATTGGAGACCATTACAACTGGTCACGTCTCACCACATTTTTAAGTGATGCAATTGTTATGATTAATCCTCGGAACTTCCCTTCACATTTGATGTCATAAAACATTCCATTTTTTCTCAGTTCAAACAAACTTACAGTTCTGAAACAACCATGAGTTTTCAACCTGCAGGTTGAACGACTGTCCTGCTTGTATTTTATATATTGAATATACCCCATGCCAAAATGCTAACGAACGACAAAGATGGAAAACCTTGAGACCGCGAATATGCCAGTAGATTCGTAAAGTCAGATTCCGAACCAGAAACTGTGTTTGTAGTCCTGTACCTAGCATAAATCTACCAGATTTTCCACACATTCATATCTGGATACAATATCACCTTCCTAAGTTTACCATATTAGGTCTGCAACCGCTAATTGCAAGTACTCTTCAGAACCCAGTCAGGTGTACATTGTTGAAATCCTCAATCCCGTGACTTAGTTTGGTCTCAGTAATTTGTTTCGGGTCAACTGAAATATACGGCTTTGTTTGTTCGCAGACAATATGCGGAGACGTGTCGGATAGTACGTAATAGTCATTGGCTGTCAGGAAATAGCCAATCGTTCGAGCAGAACTAAGTAGGGAGCTACCCAAATAAATCGTAAGCATGAGAGAAATACATACTAACACAAAACAGCTAAATATTGCACTGACAGGGCGTGGACCCAAAACCGTGCAACTTGTAACCCCTCCCACACCTTTGGAAACACAAACAAGCTGTGTACTGTCAACAAGCGCTTTAACAAGGATCACATCAGACCCGTGTCACAGTCAATATAGGTACGTCAGCATCCCAAACCCTCGAGTACTACGGCGACTCCTGACTGCTAGGCGCAACTCAAACTGATTATCTAGGCAGAAGTCGGAATTCACTTTCTGGAATTTTCGTCGTCCCTTCATTTTATATAACTTCTAGTATTCCTAATAAACTCAAACATGACACTGCTTCCTGATTTTTTGTTTACAGCCGATCGATCTCGCACACGTGTACTTGAAATATACGGACATATCGAATTCAGAACCGAGCCAGAAGAAAACTAAACCAACTAGGAAATAAAAGCTCTTCCCTAACAGCCGGTTTTCATTATTCAGCATACACACACTACTTCATACTAATGTCACCCCAGTCCGTGAAGTGTATGTGGAAGTAACCCGTAACTTTCATACCGTGCAAACTAGAGTGGACGAAGACCCGACAAACCAAAAGTACCCTAATGCGGTGATATATACAATATCGCAGGATTTGATGCATTAACTAGATAGACAAGCGAAAAACTGCTACGTCTCAAACTGATTCATACATGACTAACTGTGAGCTGAAAAGCATCAAGTGACTACTTCGAGGATGGCCACTGCAACACAATTCGACGTGCTGTAGGACTGATTGATAAACAACCAAGCAGGCACGCAGATTCGGAAAATTATATTCTACTTACTACAGGACGTCTAATCAGCAAAAACTAGTCAATGTTACAAACGCAGTGCATGAGCTATTCCTACAGCGGAGTCAAACTCATAAACAAACAAGCCCACTGTTTAGATAAAGGCGAACGAACTTCATATGATAGCCAACGCGCAACCACTTAACGGGTGGTCGTCGTGAAAAAAAGCATTTATTTTAAGCACATTTATTGTAAGACATAACAGAACGAGTCAGAAGTATTTCCTTTTCGCGTCTTCTATTGATAGCCATCTGAAATTTAAAAAGTATTGACTAGTTAATCAAGTAAGAGTACTCTATGATCAGACGAATTACTGTCATCATTTGTTCAGACGGTAATTCCATAAAACATCACTAAACAAAACTCACCTAAAGTAGATTTCGCGATATTATCTGACACCATGCACGACAAATGACCAAGTACTAAGCGCATAGAAAGTAATCATCGATGAGTCCGGATGTTAGGTAAAATTCATTTCTAACAGGACAACCTGTAAAACAGAGAATTCTAATCAGTTGAGTACAGAGCAACTAATTAAATTCAGTTAAATGTTTGTCACTATTTAGTCAGACGGTAACTCTATTACCATCACAAAACAGACTTACCGTATACTAGTCAACTATCGTCAACAGTTCTTTTCGACATGACAGAATCCAATTGTAATGGTCATTACGTTGAAGGATCAGCTACACGAGTTTCCTCAGTGCTAGATACGTAGATAAAATAATTTGTCAGTTATCAGCTCTCATAATCGATATCATATCAGAAAAACTAATAACTAACTGTGAACGCTGGACAAACATGAGTTTGACTGCTTGTGAACAGTAACTCATTGCGTCACTGAAGGCCAAATGTTACGTTGATAACCCATTCGAAGACCACTAGGATTAGTAGAAGTGAGGAAGTCTAACCCCAATAACCTTCGACAGCTTATCAACACAACATTCGTACTTACTCACGGTTAGCTAGTAGCCCTCGTTCGTTTCATCGGTCGTTTGTCATCACACTTACCATAGCATGGCAGATGTGACCAACACGGCAACACACTCAAACACTAATTGTGCAGTCAAACAAAGAATCTTCATTTTCCAATCTTTATTGAACGACTCCAAACACTTATTCGATATTAATCAAGCAGTTGTCTTCATAGTAAATCGAAGACCTAATCTAATAAACCCCTATTCCGTGCTGCGTTTATGGGCTTTTAGGATTGCCCATCCATCACTTTCGTAAATTTCTTTCCGGTTTTGGAAGGACAATAGACTGAGTGATGGCCTTAGTCTTGCCGTTGCAGGTTTATTAGTTGATCAGACTTTCTTTTCAGCGCCTCAATAGAAGCAGCTCCAATTAACTGCTGAAGCAAGTAGCTCCAATTGTTGACTATTTGTTGATAAGGCAGATAATCAGATGACCAGCAATTTGTTCTGCGCCTTTGAAATCTCTGAAAGAGATCTTTTAAATTCTCTTGTTCGGAAGACAGGAAAATTTTTCTCAGTAATTTAAATACTGTGATTAATGCAACTCTAATCCTTGTATCACAAGCTGAATAGTTTTTATTTAACAGATCTCTTGTTATATTTCCATAGGTCATTGTGAAGCTCTAGAATTTCACCTTCATTTATTATTGCTCTCTATACCTTAACATCATAAACAGATAAGAAAACTGATGGTGATGAGAAAGTTATTCACACTTGATAGTAATAACGATTGTCGCCGAATTGTATCCTATAACACTGCACTAAACACAACCTCTCACAAGACAATATTAGACTAACTTTTGCTCTCTGTTGCTTTCAACTAGGAAATTGTTCATCTGCAAGATTATGGTCTAGTTTGATATTAGTACTACTCTAATGATAGAAGTAATTCCGAAATTGTAAATTTGTCATGATTTGACTATCTAATCCATGGGATCTTACGTGAAAGTCACATCACTGTCTACACTGAATAGTCGTATCATGACAA